GTCTTAACTTTTTTAAAAATATTTTTATTAAATAATTTAATATGATTCCAAAACAATATGTTTATAAACAATTATTTGTTTACCAAAACATTTTAACAATAAGTAATACCATTGATTAAGCATATTAATATACTTAAATTGACCAATCAATATAATGCATAGGTAGTACAATTAAATGAAAAATCGTATAACAAAAATAGGAAATTATTTAAAATAATAAATAAATTATGTTATATAATTCTTTACAGTTAAATATTACTACCAGTGTAAACTATTTAAGTACCAACACAGCACGTGGACACTGCACAGTATGGAATTAGTTGGTTACCAATACACAGTATGATTAAATTTGAATAACAAAAAAAACACCGTGTTCGTTGATCGAAAGTTGTGTCTAGCATGAAATCAATGAAATTAAAAGTGCAAGCTATTAAATCATTATTAGTTCTTAGAATTATAATTCTATTTAATATTTAAACGCACAGAGTAATAATACCGATTAGAAATATTTTCCTAAACATCCGGAGTATAAAAAATGTCATGAATCAGCCATGAATTATGCAGCTTAGAAAAAAATAGTTAAGTGACGTCACTCACACTGCGCCGCACTGCGGCCAATCTAATACCATTTATTATTTATATTTATGTAAATCAAAATATTATTTGTTCTAATTACTATATATATTAAAATCAATGCCAATTCACCGTAAATCGGTTCATTTCACACAATACCTTATACATATTTTAACTGTATAAATACGACGAATAATTTTTTTTTCCTTTTTAATCATAAGTGAAATTATTATGTATTTAAGACAATAGTGTAATCAGCAAGATCTTTGAATACATGACATCAAAAATTATTATTTAGGGGAGTATAATTATTGTTGTTTTTAAATGTGGCAATTTTTTTTTAGTTTAATCTTAAGTACCTGTACACTCTCCTAGTGTTTTAAATACCAAAAACTGTAGAAAAATATTATTTGAAGCTGTACACATAGCGAGTACAGGCCTCGTATTTATTACAATATAACAAATAATGATATAGGCCGTTTGCAGACCCAGAAACGTAGCAAAATTGTAAATGTCCACTACATAGTTGATTAATGAAAATAAAACTGTACTGATTCTAAATATTAAATTTATCTAAACAATTTTTCTTTAGTTTTTGTCTACATTGATTAAATATCAATAACGATAATGAATTAAATGGTTGCAAAGCGTTATTTAATAACATATAGAATTATTTATAAAAGAGAAATTAAGTGCAATATCGCTCCAACAAACCTTTTAGAGCAAAATAAAATAGTTCATATTTATTTTGCGTTATTTTTTTATGTTCGTAAAACATTCAAACGTATTTCTTTTTATATATATATTACATGAGAACGTTTTTGGGTTCCTATGGACTTTTATATTTTTGGCACTATTTCTGATATTGTATGGCCGCATTTATGTCCAGTAAAATATATTTATGATGACAGAGGATTTTTTTTCTGGAATTACGGTTTCTTATATTTTATACTATATCTCTTCGTTCCCATTTAACGGATACCTTTTTATCTGAATTTCTCCGGCTTTATTTTCAAACGAAACGCACATGAAGTTTATAGGTAGGCTGGCAAATACCTATTGCAAAAATTAATTCAATTTGAGGAACAAAACAAAATATGTAGGTATTATTATTGGCTCAGAAATTATTATTGTGTAGGTAGCTGGATTTTAAGGAGTATTATAATATTGTCAATATGTTTTTATCGCTTTTAGTTCCATTTTTATTAACTGATAAAAAATTTAAAATTCAACATAAAAATAACAATTTTTTGGTCAACTCGTCACTTTTGCTTTGTATATAGTTTCAACAGAAGACGTGTGTTCAAAGTGTTCAAACATTGCAAACATTGAAATACGGAACAATAACACTCAACTCCACCCTTTCCGGTTCACAAACCCACGCAGACAGGGTAACGATCAGATATAACATAATATTATATTGAAACGCGATAAACACTCGAAAAGTGCCTAATTTGAGTTTATAGTGTTCGAAAAATAATAATGAGTATACGGTGGCATATGTCAAATGAATATATAGGTTCTTTCCGTTTCAAACAGTTTTTTATACACTGTGTTAAATGTTTACTCAAGTTTTCTTCGACCCTACAGCTGGCGACCGGACATTTCTGTGACATTAGCAAGTACCTCTTTTTTATTATTATTATCTCGCTAGTTTTTTTTTGTTTTTGTTTTTTTGTTCTGGCACCCTCATATGAGAGCTGTATGGGAACAATGCCCAATTTCTAAGTGAGTGCGCAAGTATACTGCAAGTTATGCTATTATACTGCAATTCTTAAGTGGAAAAAAACGTCAATAAAACATCACCAGACATGTGCAATGGTTTCAATTTAAAAAGACAAAACACAAATTCTGCTCAGAAAAATTGTTAGGTTGGCTTATAGTTAAAACATGTTCATCTTTTATCGTCAGATATTAATATAATACCTAATATGTATTACTATTGCACGTGCAATTAAACGAGTCTTTAACATTTAATATATTATTTTATCGGTTTTAAAATTCGTTATATGTTTGTACATTTATCAATCTTAATAGAACATTTCCAGATCACAATATTATAGTTAAATAATATAAATCAAGTTTAATTTATATCTGATGATATGCAATAGTAAGCAATATTTATATTAATATAATTTTAGTGAAACATTAACCATTATGGAATTTCTTACAATCTTTAAATACATGATATTTTCGCGAGAGTGCAGTGACGCTAATTATTTATTATAAAAGATTATTCAAATTTACTATGTACATTACAGCCAAGATTTGAAACATCGTCAGTGATTTAATATATTTTGTTCATAATTTGTTTGTTGGTATGTGTGTAATGCGTACTATCGGCGTTGGATTTTTTTTTTTTTATAAATTAAGGATTAGCTATTACCTAGCTAGGTACTCTAAAAGTAAAAAAGGAATGAAAATATCCTTAGTAATAAACAACATAACATAATATAATATGACGTACCTACATCGTTTGAACTCCCAAAAACTGATAAATCATAATGTTATTTATTGCCTAAACAATAGTTACCTATATTATTGGCAATATTTAAGAAATCGAAAAAAAATGAATATTAAGATATGAAATTACTTTATTCAGGCACAAAATGCACATAGACTATAGGTAAAGAAACAATAGACAAACTGAAAAATTTAGAAATGCTGTCACCTGATACACCTAAACACCTAATCTATAAATATAAATTAATCTAAATCCCTAGTTCTTAATTCTTGATCAACAAATTTGGAACAATCAATCGACTAAATTAAACCTAATTAAATAGTTAATAACAATATGGATAACAAACATAAGGACTAACATCTCAATTAAAAATAAAAATCTGACTAGAATGTATTATACTAGATTGACTTATGGTTTTCTGATGACAAAATGTGACCCTCCTGAATGTAATATGGCGGCATCACTCTAATAATCAAACGTATCTTTAACGAATATAGCTGAGTGTAATAACACATATTGGTACTATTCAATAAGATATCTATCTAACAAATTATGATGTTAAACATTAATTTTTTTTGACCATTATTCGAATAATAATTTTTTTAAATATTTCCCCCTCCCCCTAAACGTTAAAACTTATAAATGACGTTTATAAGTGACTTCTTTCTAGTTCAATTAACAGTCAACCATATTCTCATCACATACGATATTATTGTAAATTGTATTGATCGTGTATCGTGTATGAATAAAATATTAATATTATAATCAAAAACGAAATATTCATAATTATTGATTTAAAAATAATATAACTTGGTCGTAAAATATTTCATTTTTCCAAAAATAAAATGTATTCATGTTTCATTCATGCAATAATAAATTGAATAGATCTTTTCTTAGGCATTAAATAATTTATAAAAAAAATGTATATAATGTTATTTTTAATACTTTGCAATAACTGCAGTTATTAAATGCTGTTGCGAATGTAAAAAAAATAATACATCATAGGTAAAAAATTACATTTTAAAAATGTAGTTGATTATTTGTTATAATTATGTGTTAATTACCATGACAAAATACAATAGCAAATTTAAATTCCTAATATTATTCGTATAATATGATGTTATGATATAATTGAAATAATATCCATATAGTCTACTCGCTACGCAAAACATTGAATCTCCATTATAATTTCTATAAACTTAACAATATTCCATATTTTATGCAAATGAACTATAAATCAAAACGAATGCTTGTATTTGTTTATCATTAGTACTCATCACTTATTACTTTTCATCATATTGGTATTAATAATGTAATTAGTTTGTAATACTAATAAGTAATTTCTATAGAACATCACAATACGATCTCGTTTTGTAAATACGTAACATAGTTTGTAAAAGAATACATAGGTATTTATAATGACCAGGCTTGATTTACATTGTGATGTTTAGCAATTATTTTAATATATCAATATAGTACATTTTATTATTTATTTTACTTGTTTATGTATTCAATAATTAGATACCTAATAAAGGCATATTAATATTTAAGAATTGAAGAACAACAAAAATAATTTTTTTGTATTTTATAAGTAGGCACCTAAAATTAAATTATATGTTGAAATAACACTAATTAATTTGAAAAATATAAGATAGTATTTAATTATCAAATTCATTTCTAGAGGTGGGTTTTCCTTTTTATTAATTATTCACAATTGTTTAGTAGATAATACTATATAATACTTAACGATATTAATTAATAGCTAAATTTAAATAGTATTCTGTTTCGCGATATTAAAACATAATAATATTGAATATGTATTATTCATATTATTGGTTTGGCTTTTCCAAATAATCTTTTAGTCATACTGACTCTTTTAATAATAATGACTGTTGTTTAAGGAAGTTTATCGTAGTTCATTCACTTTGACATTTATGCAATGACACTGTTCGTAAATACATACTGTATCTGATCCATTTAAGGTCGGTGGGTTTCTGTTAGCTCTACTAGATTTGCTGTTTTTCCTCTTAGGGCTTTGGGCACTGCCAGATGACGAACCCTTCGCCATTTTAACGAAAGGAATTTAACAACCAACGAAAATGTTTAAAAATCATCAAAACCATACAAAACCGGCTCGAATTAGTGCTCGTGTGACTGAAACGATATCATACTCGGCGGTCCCTTATTGTTTTCCCGATTAACGCGTTTGTTAGACGATTATTTTATTATACGATATAGTATTAAATCAACTAGAAGGAACACTGATCTTTAACGACGCGATGGACATCACTGGGATTTATTCATAGTTTATTCACAATTAACTAGCAGATTATTCACATTTCATTCACTAGTTCATCACTCTGACGAGTACATAATGCACTAGCATCTTTCATAGACGTTCACCACCACTGTACCTATGTCGGATGCAAAATTTTTTATCCAATAGATAACTCATAATGATTCTAATAATTGTTGTATTTTGTATTGAATTGTATTTTTAATGAGATAACAGACGATTTGTTACACTAACGAGCTTGTTTTCTTCTGAACTTTATTATAATATTTACATAGGTAACTAGTACATAGGTATGAGTATTTATTTATTTTTATCAATATTATCATAAATTCTAAACATTTGTTTTATATAATGATGATTATGTTCAATCTATACATTTATAAATCTAGTGAATTCACCATAGGTTATTTATTTTGATATTGAATTATCGATAATCTGTATTTGGTCTCTGTAATTTAAATTATTCTATAATGAAGATTTTAATTCGAGTTACATTTAATATGAACTATTTATACTTGTGAAATAAAGTCTAAGGCGGGTTGTTTGCAAAAATTTAAGTCAAAAAGACGAATCGTAGATTAAACCAATGATTAAGAAAAAAAATTGACTGTCGAAAGAGTATAATTACTGGATAGTGGATAACCCAAATAGGAGCATTCAAAATTCAATTGTTTTCTTCTAAAAAATTGTGTTGTAATAAATCGTTCCTTCAAATACGGTTTTAGATTCTGAGAGGAGCGATGAATGCATTGATTTTACAATGATGTGTGTTTTTTGTGTCTGTGCACACTATTATTATATGGGCTAGTTGTACCGTCTGTGGTAAACTTCGTTTACGCTTAATCAGCTGATAACAGATATTTAACCGGGCAAATTCGGAAGATTAAGCTTCGGTTAACTTTAATCAGAGATGGCCCTTAGTAATGTCGAAATAACACTTGGATTTTCAACTTCAGTACTTTGTTCGATGTGTAAGTTACTCTAGTTGGTGCATTAGGGAGATCAAAATCGCTTAGTAAAATAAAAAAAAATTAAGGAAAAACAAAAATTTTTACGTAAAATCGGTTTTTGAAAAAATCGATTTTGGTTTTTGGTGTAACTCTAAAAAAAATTACCGTAGATACATGCAATTTTCACTGGCTGTTTCTATTAGCATTTTCTCCATACAATTTCGAAAATATTTTGATTGTTTTTAACTGTTTATTGCCATTTTCAAATTTAAACTTTTTTAGTTTTTTTTTTATAAATATCAATATAACTTAATACAAGGCTCCTGATATATTGTTTCAATAGCAATTTCAAAATATTAAAAATACATAGTAAAAATTTTTTTTATAAGCATTTAAAGTTTAAATTTTGACAACATTTATAAAATTTAAAATTTAATAATTATTTCATAGTTAAAAATTTATAAAATATTCAACATTTATAGCTAAAGTTTAAAAATTTAGGTTCCACGTAAATATTTTGTGTATAAATTACTTTATTCACAATAATATCATCAAATATACTTAGTAATATCACACGCTGACTGACCGTCTTCAATCAGAATCGTTTTTCTTATACAATGATATTATATCATTGAATTCAAATTTAACACCATACATTACACATTACAGTGACCCGCTTGTAACCTACTGAATTTTAATGTATTTCAATTTATAATGGAGGTATAATAATAATGAGTATCAGAGTGTGTATGTGTAAAGAGGATTATAAAATTTTTTTAAATATAGATATTTTACAAAAAATGTTTGTTTTAGTATCGTTAATAAAATAATTTAATATGCTTACAATATTGTACTAAAAATAAAAATTTTAAATTAAAATGAAGCATTACAAATTCTATAAACTTCTCCAATTATAAACAAAAAATGAGTTATCATTTTTTTTTAAATATAAAAGTTTTATTTTTTATTATAATATTAGTCATATTTATTCGTAAATAATTTATAATGTATAGTAAGAAAAAAATTTGCAAGAATTTTATTAGAACTTGTATTGGCTTGAACTTTATAATAATTTAATAAATCCGTATGGCATATATTTTCTAAGAAGTGAACTATTTTAAAGATTCTTCTTGATTGAACTGCATAAATTGGTATTCTCCAAGGAATCAAGATTATTAGAAATGCTTTACTATAATATAATGTGTAACACATACAAAAAATTTAAAAAATAAATAAATACTTTTGTTTTGTTGACATAGTATAATAATATTAATATAAATCGAAAATAAGAAATAAATTATAAAATACTATACTTCATAGATGCATTTATTTTTATCTAAACACTAGCTATTGAAATGTGCTATGGTTAACTTATTTCTATAATTTTTTAATATATAAAAATGTATAAATGTATTTACATATTTTTAAAATATTAATAAAAAAAATTAACTAAAATATATATGCAATTACTTTCAAATCTATAAACACCTATTCAGTTTTCAGAATACTACTTGTATTAAATCCGTATTTAATATAAATTAAAAACCAACAACCTTCTACTATGTATAATAGTGGTAAATATAACAAAAAAAAAAAAAAAAACCCCAAAATATACAACTAAATAGATAATAATATTGACTGTACTTACATAGTTTACTGTTTTAACCTTCTTCTAAGCACTTAGATATATCACTTTATTTTCAATAAAATAATTATCGTTTGTAACGTTCTGTCTGAAGACTAACTAGGTATTAATTTTGTCTTATACAATTCAACTTATTCGAGCACACGATTATCACATTTTATCATAAATCAATGTTATCTTAAAGTTATAAATATATCTGAAATGTCCACAGTCAACATTAATTAATCGTTATTTAGTATTTTCACATACCTACCTACTTCTCAACATACAGTTATTTATTTAAAAAGCTAAAAATGTATACCCATTAAGTTTGTTATAAAATGTAAAGGATTTAAGAAAATGAATAGTCATAAACATTTGAGTAGGGGGGTAGGCACCACTTATTCAGTACTTGGGTATTATTATATAATATTATGAGGTTAATTATTTGATGTTATAAATAATATATGACCAATCAATTACCCTCGACATTTTATCTACAATGCCTTATAATAACATATCATTATAACTTATATTATTATACCTACCTTAATTATAACATTAATGTGGTTTATATAATATCAATAAAAATATTAGCAATATGAAATAATAAATAATTAACATGCACAAAGATAAAACTTTAATTCATCATAAAGAGATAATAATGCATTTTAAAATAAAAAAACAACTCATATTGTACAAATGTTGATCCTGATGAGGATTGAATTAACGTTTAGACATAGATATTTTAAACTCAATATCTATGTACAAGTCACAGAAATAAAACAATCACACAGTAACAATAAGTGGTGAAAAAAAAACAAACTGTTTATAATTTGGACAAATTATTTATTTAATATTGTTTCAAAAACGTTGAACAATTATTTTACTGTGTCTTTTGTTATGTATTTGTTTATACTTTAGTGTCTGCGTACAATGTGTGAATGAAATAAGTACAATTTCATACTGTTCCTGTGTATATTATATTTCAAATTTACTATTCACAGGTTGTCATATACAATATAGTTATACACTTTATATCAATATAATATATATGTATATAGAATGTATTATTCTCTAACATCATTTTGAAATGCGTATACACAATTACGCGGGTGGAGATTGAATTTACCGGTATTTTGTACTACTTGTGTGCAAACACCAACTATATTATATCCGAACAGTAAAAATGTTTACTACACTCGTTATAATATTTCTTATACAGCGTGTTTTCATATTTATCTTAGATGAGTATTAATTCCGATTGTGATTAGTATTTATAAAATGGTCCACTGTAGCCCGCACTATGCACAATTGCCTATTTTATATAGTTTATAAATCATAATTAATGATCATAATAATATTATAGAGTCTACGGTACAATCATCTATCATATTATTATTGACACCACATCACATCACATAATTTCGTTTGAGTAGTTATCGTCTTTAATAAATGTTGTTATTTAATCATCATCTATAACTAATACCCATCGAATGGATTGAAACTTAAAAATATTTTATAGTAACCGATTTAAGATTTAAGATACTGTGCAGAGCAGTCGTGTGTTTTAGATTCTGAGTAAAGTGAAAAAAATCAAAGTACTTTACAAAATATCAGGTAAGTATTAAAAAACAGGAATATTTACGCAATAGGTACTGATTTGAGGAAAAATATTTTTTTAAGTAAAAAATAGCCTGACATTTATACAAGGTTTTTTGTAAATGATCGATATTACGAATAAAAGTTGACATGTTTTCAAAATTATATGGTCACAAATATTTTCTGAACATGAATATTTGCAAATTATTGAATATGAAAATATATGTAAATTATTCTAATTGTGGTTAGAAATTCTTTCAGTTTTTAATTTTAATAGAAACTTAAATATTTTTTTAAATTCTTAAGATTCTTTATTAGTTCTTCTTATAGTAAAAACTATACAATATCGAACCATCTATATTATAATGCTACAATTTTCAAATACATACAAAATATCCTACATTATTGACCATATAATATAAAATATTTGAGATGCAGGTACATAATAATGCAATATTAACTTAATTTGAAGCTATCACTGTACTATTTACTACTTTTAATAATAAAAATAAAAAATATATTAACATGGACACTTTTTTTTATATAGTATAGACATTTGTAATCTCAATCTTGACAAAATTTGGATATTCTACAAA